TGGGGGTGGGGGCGGGATGCATTTTAATAAGATCCCCAGATGACTCTTTAAGAATTATGGTTTATATGTGGATTCTTCCCCTCCCTGCTTGGATAGTTTCATGGGCGTATAATTCACATATCATACAATTCAATAGCTCGGTCACATCAGGAAGAACTGTACAGTCCTCACCATTGTCAGTTTTTGAACATTTTCTTCATCCTTGTAATCATCATTATTAGTTAAATGTAAATTCTGATTTTTTTCCTGGGGTAGAAAAGCCAATTATCAGCAGGGGGTCCCTGCTTCACAGTCTAGTTTAGGGATTTTGTTGCATCCTGCTGAATCTTAACTAGTGAATGGGTCTTCTCCAGGTCTGGGGACCAGTTAGCCCAGCCCTGTACACTTAGCTCCTAGGGGGTACAAACAGTTCCTTTTCTTTGCTGCTGACCAAAAGGTTGGAGATTTGAATCCATGCAAAGCTTCCTCAGAAGGAAACGTCTTGGCGATTAACTCCTAAAGAACAAGCCACTGAAAAACCCTAAGGTGTACAGCCCTGCCCAGACCCCATGGAGTCCCCACGAGTTGCAGTCGATGCAGGAACAACTGGTGCTGTGCATGGCAGCCTGGCATGCAGGCCTTGGCCACTAACAGCTGGGTTTGCAGCTAACTCTCCCTTCGTGGTAGGCCTGGGGAAGACTGCCTGTGAAGGCCTTTTGAAGTCCTGTTCCTCTCACATAGCTACTGTTGGGCTACTCTGCAGTCGAGGGTGGGGCCCGGCTCTTGGAGAGCCGGGACAGCCCTGGAGGGGCAGGGCAAAGAAATGCACCCCATGGCATGAACCAAGCCTAGACAATGGAGGCAGCCTCGCAAACACAACAGAAGAGCATCACATCGTTGCTGTCTGACTGGCCAAACCTTCGCCTCTGCCTCCTGCTGAATCTTCGGGCTGTAGCTGCGCAGGGCTCATCCCTTACCTTGGGTGCAAGGCACTGATAATAAATACAGGGGAGTTTTGAAAGCTCATGGAGAGGTAGTAGTGAAAGATCAGGGGAATTTCCCACGAACTTTTTGAAGACCCTTGTAGACCTAATTGGGAACTGAAGGGTGCGTGCGTTTCTTTTTCATGTTGAATGGCAACACACTAAAGCCTCCTGCAAAGAGAAAATGTCTGGTGTTGGTCTGAAGGGGAGCCAGGTGTAAAGCAAGCATGGCGGGTTTCCAATTGAGTGGTAAAAGTAATACAAGTTGGGGTTGTGTAAATTAAAGTACTTGAATGCGTAAATACTGACAAGCATTTTCTCTGCTTACTGAGCAATCTCTTCATTTCTTTAAGGGACATGGCTTGTAGTGTGGCCGGCATAACTTCTGATGCTAATGTTCTCACTAATGAACTCAGACTCATCGCTCAAAGGTATGGTCCCAGTAGCATATTTAACAGTAGCTAGGTGCGATGTTTCCAAGGAGAACTCACTGTTGAAAAGGTTAAAGTCATTAACAATCTAGTAATTGAAAGAGAGTGAGCTTTTAAAAACCACACTTGTAAAGTATTAGCTATTGTAAAGATAATAGGATGTTGACATGTTCCCTTCTGTCTTCTTTTCAAATTAAAAGCGACCATGGTCCAAGGAGCTGCGGTCGTGTAGTGGGTTACTTGTTGGGCTGCTATTCAGAAATGTGCATACATGTATGTGGACAGAAGCTTGTAGAAGAACAGTAAGGCTGTTTTTTATATGCCCTGGTGGCATAAGGCGTTGAGTGTGAGGCTGCTAGCCACAAGATCTGCATTCCCACCCACCAGCTACTCCTTGTGAGAACGTTGACATGGTCTCTCCTATGAAGATTGACAGCCGTGGACCTCTTAGGGCGTGATGCTGCTCTGGCCTATGGGACCACTTTGAGGCAGAATCGACACGTTGGTGCTGCTGAGGTTGTGTTGTCCCAGTGGCATACGTTTCTTTTAATTAAGAAGTATTTACATTAACAATTTGATTGGCATGTAAGTCCAACAGTTCATAGTTAAATCACATCAAGAAGTGTTGTGCCATCATCTCTATAATCAGTTTTAGAATGTTTTCTTCATTTTTGTACTCATCGTTATTTGCTCCTTAAATTTCTTTTTAGAGGCTATCTTGCTTACATCCCAGTTGTGTTTTAATGGAACCCGGGTGGTGCAGTGGCTTAAGCGTTAGGCTGCTAACTGGGAGTTCATTGGTTCAAGCCCACCAGGCACGCCTCAGAAAAGATGGGGCAGTCAGCTTCAAAAAGATCCGCAGCTTCTGAAACCCTGTGGGGCAGTTCTCCACCCTAGAGGGTTCCTGGAGTTGGAATCGACTCAATGGCGGTGGATTTGAGGTGGATTATTTTTTTGGTGCCTGTGTTTTAGAGAAAGTAATATCCTAATCTTTTGAAATCTTAGGTATTTACTACAATATCAGGAGCCAATTCCTTGTGAGCAGTTGGTTACAGCGCTGTGTGACATCAAGCAAGCTTATACACAGTTTGGAGGTACTCATTTTGGAGAAATTTTATTTAAAATGTTCAATGAATTTTGAACTTTTAAGAGATAATTAAAAAGTCGTTAAACATTGAATAGGTAAGTAGATAGTACTTTGCATAAATTCCTGCTTTGTAAGCTTGACTGCCATATAGATTTTCATAAGTGGTTCCTAGGAGATTGAAAGGCCAAGGTAATACTTTCAAATTTGGAAACATTGCTTTTTGGGTAATAATCAGATTCAGCACTGGAGGCCAGAGGCTTTATTCTCTCCCCTGGCTATGTCCCAACCAGAGAAGCCAAGGTAGATTTTATGCAGAGCTTATCTGCCTTAGCCAGAGCACAGAGCACTTAATGAATGTTTCACTTCACAGACTGGTTTAGCCACCTGCCCTGCGCTCAAGTAACTGTGATACTAAACTGTTGCTAAGATTGCCTCTCTATTCCAGGAAAGCGTCCCTTTGGAGTGTCATTGCTCTACATTGGCTGGGATAAACACTATGGCTTTCAGCTCTATCAGAGTGACCCGAGTGGGAATTATGGAGGATGGAAAGCCACATGTATTGGAAATAATAGTGCTGTGAGTATTTTTGTAATGTTACAAGATGGGGAAAGTAGAGAGCCTAAACAGTATTTGAGAGAGCTACCTGAGCCTTAATGGAATGTGTGATTTTTATTAGTGACAAAGTTGCAGGTACTATTTATTCTACAGGGGTTTTCTGCCTGTTTTTATGATGAAAGACAATGTTAGTTCTCCATTAGAAGTTGTAGAAATACAGGTGTATGTTTTCCCCTTTCTTAGTTCATGAACCCCCGACTTTTTACTGTGGATCCCTGGTTAAAAATTCCCTTCATAGAGCATCAGGACTCCTCTTTCCAACTCCATCCTGTGTCTGCCCTATTTGTCATCCAAACTATCTACTTTACTGGGTATCTTGCCAATAATTCAGCCACTATTCTTCTGACCAAGCCCTATTCTTTTTTAAAAAAATCATTTTATTGGGGGCTCATACAACCCTTATCACAATCCATACATCATCCATTGTGTGAAGCACATTTGTACATTTGTTGCCATCATCATTCTCAAACCATTTGCTTTGTACTTGAGCCCTTGTTATCAGCTCCTCATTTTCCCCTCCCTCCTTGCTCCCCCCTCCCTCTTGAGCCCTTGATAATTTATAAATTATTATTATGTTGTCATGTCTTACACTGTCCGACATCACCCTTCATCCACTTCTGTTGTCCGTCCCCCAGGGAGGGGATTATATGTAGATCCTTGTGATCAGCTCCCCCTTTCTATCCCACCTTCCTTCCACCCTTCTGGTATCACCACTCTCACCACTGGTCCTGAGGGGTTCATCTGTCCTGGATTCCCTGTGTTTCCAGTTCCTGTCTGTACCAGTGTACATCCTCTGGTCTAGCTGGATCTGTAAGGTAAAATTGGGATCATGATAGTGGGGAAGCATTAAAGAATTAGAGGAAAGCTGTATGTTTCTTTGTTGCTGCACTGAATCCTGACTGGCTCATCTCCTCCCTGCTACTCTTCTGTAAGGGGATGTCCAATTGCCTACAGATAGGCTTTGGGTCCCTACTCCGCACTCCCCCTCATTTACAGAATAATTTTTTGTTCTTGGTGCCTGATACCTGATTCCATGGACATCTCGTGATCACACAGGCTGGTGTGCTTCTTCCTTGTGGGCTTTGTTGCTTCTCAGCTAGATGGTTGCTTGTTTATTTTCAAGTCTTTAAGACCCCAGATGCCAAGCCCTATTCTTAAGAGTACCGAAATGGAAAGGAAGAATCCCCATGTGGATGAAGCCTCTGTCGAATTCCCTCTGACCATTGACAGGGATGTGAATAGTCTTGCGCTCAGACTGAGTGCATTGGAAAGTGGATTACTTCCACCACCATCACCAGCCCAGGGAGATGCAGTCTCCTTTAGCAACTTACTTGGGCGTGTCCGTGATGGCAATCACCCTAATGGGGGTAGTAGCATAGTCATGAGTTAACAGCCTGCCTGCCTTGGGTAAACCTCGGGACCAACATGTGCTCCACTGTCTAATGTAACATACGTGTCCCAATCACAGTCCTTCATCCCACTTCGAGGATTCCACCAATAAATTGGGTTTGTTCATCTGCCGCTAACCATGTTCTTGGGACAGTTTTCTTTGACCCCGAATGTCCTCATTAAAGCTCTGTACCTCAGCAAACCCTTAGAGACCATTATGACCATGTACTAATGGTCTCCGTCACTTGGATGGTACGTCTGTACAGTTTCCTTGTCTCCTTTAGGACTTTTATAAGTGTTCTACTTAAAGAAAGACAGGAAAGGGAATTCTGTGTTAATTATCTGTTTCTGTAGGCAGCTGTGTCAATGTTAAAGCAAGACTACAAAGAAGGTGAGATGACCTTGAAGTCTGCACTTGCTTTAGCTATCAAGGTGCTGAATAAGACCATGGACGTTAGTAAACTTTCTGCTGAGAAAGGTAATTCATGTACTTGAGCAGCTGTGTGACACGGTGTAAGTTCGTGGAAACTCGGGGGTTAGGGAGGTGGCCTTTTACCTGGCTCCAGAGTAAGCGCAGTGGCCCTAAGGACTTGAGCCACAATCCCACAGTGTTTTTCAAGCTTAGTAACTTTTCTCACGATTTGTCATTCATGATGGCTGCTGTGTGTACAGGTAGTCCCCAACTAACGAGGAGGCTCCAGTGTGACAATTCCATCATAAGTCAGTTCTGACATTAAGTCAGAGGATTTTTTTCCCCCTTTAGTTTTCATTATCGTTGTCCTGTTATCAGTGTCTTTGTATGTCAGCATTGAACATCTGTGAACCAGATGTTAATAAGTGTGCTGTAACATTGTACGAATGGGTACCCCAATAGAACTGGAGTTTGTAGTATGCATTTTCCCCACTAGGCGAGCATCGAGCAACTCGCCTAGGAAGGTTCTCTCTGGTCACAGTGAATTTTTTCAAAAAAGCAGTTTCGCTCAAAACTTTTCTTGTGATGGCCTGTTGAAGAGAAATGCAAGTGGCTGTGAAATTTTGTTTCCTGTTCTGGAAAAATGCCACAGAAACTGTCGTGATGTTGAACACAGCTTAAAATGACAGCGGTACGGGAAAAATTCAAGTGTACGAGTGGTTTTCTCGTTTCAAAAGAGGTGAAATGTCGATTGATGACAAACTTCGTTCTGGACGTCCGTCAACTTCTGAACAGACGAAAATGTCAACTCGTGCATTTTGAATTCATTCCACCAGGTCAGACTGTTAAATCAAGCTTTATATTTAGAGATTCTGAAAAGATTGCGTAACAGTGTGCAACAAAAAAGGCCTGATTTGTGGCAGATGGGGGACTGGTTTTGCCACCATGACTGCACCTGCTCACACAGCCATCTCAGTGCTCCAGTTTTTGGCAAAAAACATCAAGCCTCTCTTGCCCCACGTACCTTACTCACCTGACTTCGCTCCATGAGACTTCTTTAAGTCCATGATTCCAGTTAAAGTATTTCGTTCATGTGTAAGTTGCATTGAGTGTATGGCCATGTAAAACATTTAAAATGTCTAACTTTTTTTAAAGTTATAATAAATTAACCTATTGGTTTTTGTTTTAAAAAGCTCAATCCCTGGTAGGAGACACTATTCAAATTTTTATTACACAAATAAATGTTCACCTTCAGGTATCAAGTCCACTTTTTTTTGCCTATAGCAATGGAAGCTGCTTTTTAAACAGGAATTTTAAAAAGCCTTTCAAAACCAAGCGCTATCATTTCATAGGTTCCCAAACTTATTTGATCTACTGCACCCTTCTCAGAAAAAAATTACTTAGTGCCCGCCCCCTTGGCATCTAAAGGGTATTGTGCTATGGCCCACAATCCAGGATAAAGTAGAGGTATCTGCCTTGCAGCCTCCCTGGAAAGTTCCAGCACTCCCCAGAGGAGGGCAGTATCTCCCATTTTGGAAAGCACTGTGTTATTGGTTGAAGATTCAGGACGACCCTTCAGAGGTTCCAACAAAGAAATTGTGGTCCCCTCTGGTTGTCAACTAATAGCAGGCCAGCAAGAGTGATTGGCTGATGTTATTTGTTCCAAACCCAACCCATTGCCATCCATTCTGACATGGCAACCTTGTAGGACAGGGGAGAGCTTGCCTGTACGATTTCCTAGGCTGTAAATCTTTATGGAAACAGCCTGCCTCATCTTTCTTCGACTGAATACCTAGTGGATTCAAACTGCCAACCATTTAGTTAGCTGCCAAGTGCTTAACCACTGTCCACCAGGGCTCCTTTTGTCTAAGGGAGGACCAAACAGCCGCTAAGGAGGTTAGAATAGAGAGGGAGCAGAGAAAAAATGTATACATAACTGAAAGTGGTTCCCATAAGTATGTGTGTGAGCTGTAATACGTATACAAGTAAGAGTGTTGTGGACGAAGGCCAGAGTGGGGCGAAGATTACATCAGGATTGCCTGTTAGGGTTGTTTGCTAGCATGCCTGCTTCTAATACACACCTGTGTGTTTATTGCTAGTGGAAATTGCTACTCTAACAAGAGAGAACGGAAAGACAGTCATCCGAGTCCTCAAACAAAAGGAGGTGGAACAATTGATCAAAAAACATGAGGAAGAAGAAGCTAAAGCCGAGCGGGAGAAGAAGGAAAAGGAACAGAAAGAAAAAGATAAATAGAAGACAGAGTCAGATTTTGTAACTCCACTTTGGGCACCACTTCGGTGTAAACGTTGTCCTAATGTTTCCCACTGAGAAAGGTGTGACTTTTTAAAAAACACATACAGGAGGAACTAGGACACGCCATCCCAAATTGGGCCCTTGTCCTTTATGTTCACTTGATGATGTTGTGGCAGTGATGATGATTGTTGGTCTTCATGGATATCTTACAAGATTTCTTTCTTTTTAAATAAAACTTGGAAGAGTAGAAATGGTTCGTTCACTGTGTGATTTAATTGTTAAAGATGTCAAGATTAATGGGGCCATTATCATGCTTTGTGCCTGCTGTGGCCACCCTCTCAGTTACTTTTAAGTGGGCTGTTAAAATAGACCAACATGTACATTATGAAAGGGGAGAGATGGGGATTGTGCATGAAGATTTCCTTTGCTACCCTTACCGTACCATCTTTTAAAAATAATTTTACCGGGGGCTTGTACAATTCTTAACACCATCCATCCATCCATTGTATCAAGCACATTTGTTAATTTGTTGCCATCATCATTCTCAAAACAGTTTTTCTGCTTGAGCCCTTGGGATCAGCTCATTTCTTCCTCTTCCTCACGAACCCTTGATGATTTATAAATGATTTTTATTTTATCATGTCTTACACTGTCCAACATCTCCTTTCACCCACTTTTCTGTTGTCCGTCCCCCAGGGAGAGGGTTATATAGAGAGCTGCTTTTCCCCAGGCATAAAGGGTTAGTGTTGAGCTGCTGCTGATGCCAAAGTGAGTGGTTCAAACCCACTAGCTATGCTGAGGGAGAAGAGATGAGACTGTCTGCTCCCATAAGGACTTACATTTTTGGAAACCCTGTGGGGCAATTCTACCCTGTCCTGTAAGATTGCTCTGCATCAGAGTGGACTTTGCGGCAGTGGGAGAATTGGGTACTAGTAGGGGAGGCCTGTCTGGTGAAAAGAAGTATCACATTCCCCTTCTGGCTGCTGACGGCCTTCTGTGTTAACTAGAAATCTGTTGTCAATACATATGTACAGAATGTTTGACAACCCTCATCATAACCCTAACCCTACTCGTAACCCTAACACTGTCCCTAATCCTCACCCTAAACCTAACCCTGGCCCTAACCTTTGCCCTAACTCTAAACCTGGCCTGAATCCTAACCTCAACCCTAGTCATAGTCCTAACACTCACCCGACCCTCACCATAACCCTAAACCTAACCTTGGCCCTAATCCTAACACTAACCCTAACCCTGGCCTTAACCCTAACTCTGGCCCTAAGCCTAACCCGAAACAACCCTAACTCTAAACCTGACCCTAACCCTAACGCCAATCCTAACGCTAACCCGGGGGTAACCCCTAACCTGACCATAAACCTAACCCTAACCCTGACCTTAACTCTAACCCTAACTCTTACCCAGGCCCTAACCCTAAACCTAACACTAACCCTGGCCCAAACGCTAACCCTAACTCTAACCTTAAACCTAACCCTAACCCTGCTGCTAACCCCAACAGTAAACCCAACCATATTCGAACCCTGGCCCTAACTCTAACCCTAACAATGTCTCTAACCCTAATCCTAATCCTAACCCTAACTGTAACCCCAACCCTAACCGTATCCATGGCGCTAACCTTAACCCTAAGCGTAACCCTGGCCCTAAACCAAACCCTAACCCTGGCTCTAACCCTAAACCTAACCATAACCCTGGGTCTAAACCTAGCCCTAACTTTAACCCTAACCGTACCCCTGGCCCTAAAACTAACCTTAGCCCTAACCCCAACCCTAGCCTTAACCTTAACCCTCACCGTAACCCTAAACCTAATCCTTACTCAACCTAACCCCAACGCTGGCCCTAACCCTAACCCTGTCTGTAACACTAACCCTAACTGAAACACTAAACATAACCCTAACCTTGGCCCTAAGCCTAACCTTAACCCTAACCCTAGCCCTAGCTCTAACCCTAAACCTAACTCTAACGCCAAACCTAACCGTATCCCTAACCATAACCCATGTCCTAACCCTAACTCTGACCCTGGGTAACCACTACCCTAACCATACACCTAACCCTAAATATAAAGCGAATCCTGACCCTAACGCTAACCCTAATCCCAACTCTAACCCTAACCCTGGCCCAACCCTAGTCCTAACCCTGACTCTGACCCTGGGGTAACCCCTACCCTAATCATAAACCTAACCCTAAATCTAAACCTGACCCTAACACTAACACTGACCCTAACTCTAACTCCAACCCTAACCCTAACCCTGGCCCGAACCTAACCTAAACGCTGGCCCTAAGGATAACCCTATCCCTGACCCAATTACTAACACTAACCCCAACCCTAACCTTGGCCTTCACCCTAGCCCTACACTTAAACCTAACCCAAATCATAACCCTTACCCTAACCCTAACACTAACCCTAACCCTGTCCTTAAGCCTAACCCTAAATCTAACACTAACCCTAATCCTAACCCTAACCCTGGCGCTAGCCCGAACCCATTTCCTAACCCTAACCCTAACCCTAACCCTAACCCTGGCCATAACCCTACCCCTAACTGTAATCCTAACCCTCACCCTCACCCTCAAACTGCACCTTTCCCTCCCCCTAACACTAACCCTAACACTAACCCTAACCCCAATCCTAACCATAAACCTAATCCTAACCCTAAACCAGACCCTAACCATAACCCTAACTCTAAACCCTAAACCTAATCCTAATCCTAACCCTTACCCTAACACTAACCTTTACCATAACCCTAACACTAACACTGGCCCTAACCCTAAAGCTAACCCTAACCCTAATCCCAGCCCTAACCTTAACCCTAAATCTAACCCTAACCCTTAACCCCGTCCCTAAATTTAAACCTAACTCTAACCCTACAAACCCTGGCTCTAACCCTAACATAACCCTAACCCTAAAAGTAACCCTAAATCTAACCCTAAACCTAACACTAACCTTAGCCCTAACCCTAAGGCTAACACCAACCTTAATCCTCATACTGTCTAACACCAACCTTAACCCTAACTCTAACACTAACCCTAAATCTAACCTTAAGTCTAACCCCACCTCCAACCCTAACCCTAAGTCTTATATCAACCCTAACACTAATCCTAAGTCAAACACCAAACCTAACTCTAACTCTAATCCTATTTCTAACAAGAAAACTTAACCCTAACCCTAATTCTAACACCAACCAAAACCCCAACCCTAACCATAACCCTAAGTCTAACAACAACCCTAACCTAACCGTAACTCTAACCCTAAAGCTAAAACAGCCTAACCGTAACCCTAACCCTGAATTTAAGACCAATCTTAACCCTAACCGTAAAATTATCCCTAACCACAAGTTTAACACCAACCAGTACCCTATCCTTAAACCTAACCATATGTCTAACACCAACCCTAACCTTAAACCTAAACCTACCATGAATCCTAACACTAACACTAACCCTGTCTAACCCTAATCCTATACCTAGTCCTAAACCTAACCTTAAGCCTAACATAAAGTGACCAGATTGAAAGCGGGACACCATTGATCAGGGGTGGGGTGGGAGTGGGGTGGGGAAGGGGCCGGGGGCCGGGCGGTGTTTTTTTCATTAAAATTTTGGTCTATATGGACCAAATAGACCGTTCCCCAACTAGCTTGTTGTGCGCTCTTTCCAAAAATTGGGACTTTTTAAAAACACCAAAAGTCAGGACTGCCCCGCCAAAAGTGGGACGTCTGGTCACCTTAGCCTAACCCCAACCCCAACCCTAGCCCCAAGGCTAACACCAACCCTACCCCTATCCCTAAGTCAAACACCAAACCTAACTCTATGGCCAGCACTAACCTTACTTCTAACACTAACCCTAATTCTAACCCTAGGCTAACACCAAACCTAACCCTAACCCTAACCAAGTCTAACACCAAGCTTAACCCAATCCTGAAGTCAAATTTTACTGACTAACATACTTTTGTGTTAGTCAATGCAGTTGCGAAGCACAGGTACCTCCACGCTGGACCGTTTCCCCTAGACTCATGAATTCCGGAAGATAGAGTGGAACGGAAAGGTTTCAGGAGAACGGGAAGCTTCAGGGGCAACACTGATGGGGTGAAAAGAGACTCCTCGAGGCGCGCTTGCGCTGAAGACACAGCGCGCTGCAGGTGCCGTGTTTCCCTCAGGCGCTCCGCTAGGAGAACCCTGTTCAGAATTCTAAGGAAACTCCGCCAAACTCACTGAAGTTCACTTTTCTCCAGAAACAGCAACGTCTCTAGGAAAGCTTGTTCTGTGACACCTGAACTTAGGTTTTTCAGTACAACCATACCTCAGGCTCACTTGCCCTCAGGCGCTGGAAGTGCCACGACTCAGCATTTAAGGCCACGAGGCCAAACTCACTGAAGTTTGTCCTGTGACTTCTGAACTTCCACCATAGAGAGTGAACCTGCACCAGTCACCGTTTTCCTTAGACCCATGAAACTCCTAACGGTAAATTTGAACTCAGAGAAATGCCACTGTCAGAGGCTCCATTGAACAGAGAGGCAGGCGAACCTTTCTTTGGGAGACAGCTTTGTGGTGAAACACCTGAACTTGCATGAAAGAAAGGTAAGGAATCTTAACGGGCCAAGGTTGATCTGAGAGAAATGAAGCTGCTGGGTGTACCATTGTTCTGCCAAGCAAGCATCTCAGTGAGGCCATGCAGTAGTGAGCACAGACACCTTTGGGTCCACCGGGCCCATAAAGCACGGCATCCATCAAAGGCACTGGCGAGCAGAGAGAGCCGAAACTGCTGGAAGCCTTGTTGTACAGAGGCACGTGAACCTCCCAGAGGCAAAGTGTCTGTGAAACAACTGAACGTCCATGGCAGAGTTTTCAGGAGACACGAATTTCACGGGGCAACATTGTTCTGAGAGAAAAGACACTACCGGTGGCCACGTTTCAACTAAGGAACATCACGCTGCAGGAGCTCGGGTGCCCTCAGCCGCTAGAAGTGCCAGGACTCAGCATTTTCAGGAAACTCCACCAAACTCCCTGGAGTTCCGTCTCCCAAGTTAATTTTGTTCTGAGACTTCTGCACTCCCACGGTACAGAAGCAACCTGACGATTCACCGTTTCCCTTACACTCATGAATCTCCAGAGGGTGAAGTGGAACCCAGAGAAATGAAACCGCTGGAAGCCCCACTGAGCGGAGGCTCCTTCCCCTCAGAGAGGCAACTTTGAACTTGTGTGCCAAAAAGTTTTCTGGAGAATATGGATTCTTCACGGGGCAATGTTG